GAGAGAACTATCAAACAGGAACAAGGGGGGCAGAATAGGAATGAGAAATAATTTAGAGAAAACTTGGCACAGAATAAGAATGAGAAATAATTTTGAGAATATATGGAAATCAAGTCACAGTAATATATCTACATATAAACTCCGTTCAATCTGGGTAAAAGACCATGATTTCAATTAACCAAAGTAAAATTGAGAAGACACTATTGATTAAAGAAAAAAATATCTTACCACTATGAGCGTGTTTGGAAGCCAAGTACTAGAAATCAAGAAAAAAATCCCATTTACAATTGTATCAAAACAGTAAGATGCCCAGGAATAAACCTAACCAAAGAGGGGAAAGATCTGTATTCTGAAAACTATAAAACACTGATGAAAGAAATTGAAAAGGACAAGAAGAAATGGAGAGACATTTGATGCTCATGGATTACAAGAACAAATATTAAAATGTCAATCCTACCCAAAGCAATCTACACTTTTAATGCAATCTCTATCAAAAGACCAACAGCATTTTTCACACAACTAGAACAAACAATCCTAAAATTTGTTTGGAACCACAAAAGACCCCATAATAGCGAAAGTAATGTTGAAAAAGAAAAGCAAAACTGGAGGCATCACAATTCTGGACTTCAAGTTATACTACAAAGCTGTAGTGATCAAAACAGCATGGTACTGGCACAAAAATAGGCACATAGTCTATAGAACAGAATAGAAACCCATAAACAAACCCACAATTATGTAGTTAATTAATTTTTGACAAACCAGGGAAATATGCAATGGGAAAAAGACTGTCTCTTCAACAAATGGTGTTGGGAAAACTGGACCACTTTCTTACCCACACACAAAAATAAATTAAGAATGGATGAAAGTCCTACATGTGAGCCTTGAAACCATACAAATCTTAGAAAAGAACACAAGTAGTGTTCTTTGATATCAGCCAGAGAAAGTTTCTTTCTAGATATGTCTCCTGAGGCAAGGGGAATAAAAGTTAAAATAAAATATTGGGACTTCATTGAAATAAAAATCTGCACAGAAAATAATCAATGAAACTAAAAGACAACCCATAGATGGGCACCTGGGTGGCTCAGTTGGTTAAGCAACTGACCCTTGATTTAGGCTCAGGTCACGATCTCATGCTCAGATCTCATGCTCGTGAGATGGAGCCCACATTGGCTCCACACTGAGCATGGAGCCTGCTTGGGATTCTTTATCTCCTTCTCTCTCCCCCTCCCTCTCTCTATTCCTCTCTCACTCATGCACAAGCACACATGTTCTCTCTCTTCCAAAAATAAACAAATAAACATTTAAAAAACTTACAGAAGGAGATAAGCTATTTACAAATGACATATCTGATAAAGGGTTAGTATCCAAAATACATAAAGAACTTATAAAACTCAACACTCCCAACACAAATAATCCAATTAAAAAACAGGCAGAAGACATGAACAGATATTTCTCCAAAGAAGATATACAGATCAACAGACATCAACATGTAAAGATACATCAACATGTAAAGATGTTCATTATCACTTACCATGAGGGAAATACAAATCAAAACTACAATGAGACACCTGAACTGTCAGAATGGCTAAAATCGACAACATAAGAAACAACAGGTGTTGGTGAGGATGTGGAGAAAAAGAAACCCTTATGCACTGTTGGTGGAGCTGCTGTAGAACACAGGTGGAGGATCCTCAAAAAGTTAAAAATATGACTACCTTACCATCCAGAATACAAAAACACTAATTCAAAGGGATACATGTACTCCTATGTTAATAGCAGTATTATTTACAATAGCCAAATTGTGGAAGCAGCCTAAGTGTCCATCGATTGATGAATGGATAAAGAAGATGTGGGGTGTGCGTGTGCGTGCATAATAATACTCAGCCATAAAAAAGAATGAAATCTTGTCAATTGCAATGACGTGGGTGGAGCTAGAGAGTATAATGCCAAGTGAAATCAATCAGAGAAAGACAAATACCATATGACTTCACTCATATCTGGAATTTAAGAAACAAAACAAACAAAGGGGGCAAAAAAGGGAGAGGGACAAATCCAGAAACAGAGTCTTAAGTATAGAGAACAAACTGATGGTTGTCAGAGGGGACGGAGGTGGATGGATGGGTGAATTAGGCGACGGGGATTAAGCAGTGCATTTGTCATGATGAGTACCAAGTGATGCATGTTAGTGTTGAGTCTACAGCTACACTGTACACCTGATACTAGTGTTACACTGCATGTTAACTAACTGGAATTAAAATAAAAACTTACAAAAGATAAAAACAATTATGTACAGTTCATATTAAACTTTAGACTAAACAATTTTGAGCACACGGTTTTCCGGAAAATGTTTAGTTGAGAACTTTAACTACCTTTAAGCACTTTTGAATTTCAGCACTTAAGAAATCTATGGAAGCCTGGAAGAACAATTTATAAAAAATGGAGGCAACCTTTTTTTAGTGCAACAGAAAAGCAGCCAGTACACAAAACATGAAGTTTTTCCTGATAATAAAAGTTGTGTTTACTTGGTGAAACTTTGAGAAATGTTTATGGCATTTTTTAACGTAAAGTTTTTTAAGAGTAAAATTTCAGAATCATTAAAATGAATACCACTGCATCCAACAGAGCCAGAGAATGGGGACAGGCACCTACAGAAAAACAAAGGCCCAAATAATTTTGTGCCTGGTTTGATCACTAATTATGAAACATTATTCAGTTCTCTGGGCCTTGGTTTCTGTATCTGGGAAAAGGAGAGAATGACTACCTAATAAAACTCCTAGAATTTAATTATGTGTGAAGATAAACTGATACATTGTTATGCAAGCCCATTTTGAAAATTTCAGATTATATACACCAATATGGGACATATCCTAATCAGTACAAGAGAGATACAACCAGTCCTCAAAGAACGCAGTTCCTTAATTTCTTCCTCTCAAAACCATCACAAGCTGAATCAGCCCTAAAAAACATCTATGTCATTTTTCATTCGGCCAGCTGGCTGCACCCTGGAAAAGCGGTCCACTCAGTCAAAACTTTGAAAACCACTGGATCCCTATCTCCAGCTTATTCTCCTTACTGCCAAACCAGCTCCGAATTCTCAAATAGGGGCCCAGGAATATATGGTTTATCCTCCTCACAGCCCAATCTTTCTGTCCCTTGATTCCTTTATCCCCTTCTACAGTTCCATGGCCCACAGTGTTCATGCAGTTGGTGCCTCACATGTGATGTGTGTTATTTCTCACATTCTATTTTCATGGTGTCATATTTTTAGAGTAATAAGGCTCAATTGGCTGTTGGACTCAAACTGAGATCTGTGGAATACGTGACATAATATCAAAAACCTAAATTTAAAAACACTTCATATGTGTTATTTATTTATTTCTTATTTATAGAAAAGTTTGAATTAAAAGGTTTTTTGAAGCATCTATGGTTTTAAGAGTCAAAACCAAGGCTTGGGGTTAACTTTTTCTTCATGGAAGTCCAAATGGAATATTCTATCCTTAGATTCATGATGAACTCTTTGTCATTCAGGCCTCAGCTCAAATGTAACGTTCTCTAAAGGGTCTTCCCTGAGTACCCGATCTAAACATCCCCTGTTCTCACAACACATTATCCATGACACTTACCATTCTTGCAATGTCCTTTTTTTTTTAATTAATGTTTTTTTATTTTTGAGAGAGAGAGAAAGAGACAGAGCATGAATGGGGGAAGGGCAGAGAGAGAGGGAGACAGAGAATCTGAAGCAGGCTCTAGGCTCTGAGCTGTTAGCACAGAGCCGGACGCGGGGCTCAAACCCACAGACCTAAAGATCATGATCTGAGCTGCAGGGGGACGCTTAACCAACTGAGCCACTCAGGTGCCCCTTGTAATGTCCTTTCTTATTCATTTGTTTCTTGCATAGAATCTGCCATCTACACAGTAAGCTGCATGCAAGGCTTACTAGAGCCCAGGACTAGACTGTCTTGTGAATCCCTTCATACCAGCACCTAGGGCAGTGCTTGGCACGCGGGACTCTTGCCATTTGAATGACTGACTAACTGAATGAATGAATGAATGAATGAAAATTTGAGACTTTACTCCATGTCAGGCTCTGACCTGTATGCTTCCTATGTAATCTCACAACTGTAAACTTCCTCTTATTGAGGAAGACTCAAGGAGGTTAAGTCATAGCTGAGAAGACTCATGCCAGGGCCTAATCTTTTCCCAGTATTGACAAGGATTCTGATTTCTTTTGTCTTTCCCACACAATTATAATTCATCACAGGTATTAAGCATTGAGCTTGAGTATTTCTTGTTGGAACTAAAGGCATGAGCAAAGCAGGAAAAACATCTGAGTTTCAAAAGCAAAAGCGTAATTCATATGCCCTTCTTACTTACAGATCCTTGGGTAAACAAGGGTGGATGTGTTATTAACAGTCTGACTTACTGGTTTAGGAATTGTTTAAACAAAGGTCACACCGCCTCACTATCTAGGAAATAATTCCAGATCCAGCTGCTTTAGTAACCACTTCCAAAATCTCAACTTTTGAGTTGTTCGTGAATTGTTCAGGCATTTTCTCTCTCTTGACGGCATAGTTTTGACTTGTTCACTGCCTTCCTCCCACCCCCCCAGTCTTTTTAGTTTAAACTTCCCACATCAAAGGTACTCAGGAGGGGCAAAGAGGAGAGAAAGCCCTCCGGGAAGGGCTCAGCAACTTTGGGACGGTATTCTCGCCACGCCCTTCACTCCGTCTTCCTGTCCTTACCAGGTAATTCAGAAATCAGCATTCCCCTTGACACCTTGAAAACTGTCATTGCGGTTGAGGCACACCCTTCCGGTCCTGTGGCACGCCCTCAGGTATCCCGGTCCCTACTTCTGTCTCAGCTCACACGGGCCTTCTGTACTGAGCCACCCGAAAGCCTGCCAGCGTTTGTAAACGCCTGGCAAAGGGCAAGCGGTCTCCTCGCCCAGCGATTTTTCAGGATTTGGGTGGGGGCCGAAACCCCAGCAGTAACTAACCTACAAATGACTGCGCCCGGTTCCCGGTCTCCTCTTCTGTTGGGCTCTCGCCCTAAGCAGCCCAATGGAGGCTGCACGGCGAGCCAGCTGCAGAAGTTTTCATCTCGAAGACAGACGAGAGATGCGGACGGTCCAGGCGGACCCAGCGCCCTCCCCCGAGGCCCACGGCGGCTGACCTTCCACAGTGCCTGACCCTCACGGAACCAGCGCAGGGCGCAACCCCAGACCCCCGTCCGGTCCCCCGGCACGCCCTCTGCCCACCGGCGCACTCCGACCGCAGACTCTGGAAGAGTCTTTCTCAGACGAGACTTGGGAATCTTCCCACAGCACCCTGAATTGCCCCGTCGCGACACTCAGCACGCTGTTAATTTACATGGGTCTGCCTCCTGGACCAGAGGGAGAGCCAAGGGTATGCCTGTCTTTTTCGACTCAGGCTTTCCCAGAGCCTGGCTTATCATAGGCACCAGTAAGTATTTATTGACTGCCTGAAAGCCTGAATGAGTAAACTTACGAGTGGGTGTATTCGGGTCTCTTCCTCACGAGTACCCGGGACCGCCCATCCGGTCTCATCACCACCCAGATGCCAGCTCCCTCGGCTCGAGGGACACTCACCTTCCGGGCAGGGCTCTCCAGGCGGCAGCCTCACCTGTTCCCCCATGGCCCCCACACGGGGCTTCCCGGAGCAGGCGCTCGCTCCTGCTCCACCTGGGCTTCTCCTCCTCCCTGTGGACCTGCGGGGCGGAGCTAGTGCGCTCTGACTCCGCCCCCGAGCAGCCTCAGCCAATGCGATTGGAGCCTTCTCGCGAGCCACGCCCCCGAGGTCTGTGGATGTGAGCTAACTCCAAGCTTGCAGATCCTGGTCCTGGTTGGAGCCGCGCAGCTGAGAAGCGTAGACACACCTCGCAGGGTAAAATCGACTCTCGGAGCGTGGAGGCCGCCCAGCCAAGTCTTTCGGAGTTTAGTGGAGTAAAGGCTGTGCCGAGGGCCCCTTCTGGCTTCTTAGACGGTCGAAATGTCTCTCTGAGGGCCCTGCTTCGCATGTTAGAGGCTTTGTACGGAAGTTGCTGGCCCCTGGGATTCTGCTCTAATCGCCACGCTAAAGTTGAATCTAGTAGATTTTGCCCTTGTGATGCTATCAGATTCTCCCCGCGGTCCCTCGGCTTCAAACTCCCGGTCCCCCCAACACCCTGTTTTCTAAGTCATGTAGTTATTTGCAATAAACCGTGAAGGAGAAGCAACGTTCAAACTGAAAAGACTTATTCCCACAAAAATAGCTAACATTTATGATATTCTTGTTTTACCATGCATATGTATGCATTAGCTCATTATATCTCACAACCTAGTCTATTAATGGCTAGTTTTTACAGATAAGGGATCAGAGGCAAAGAGCGAGGTTAACTAACTCAACCAACTAGTTAGTGGAAGGCTTGGTAGCAGGTCATTATGCAACACCAATTGGATATAATTCCTGCTAAAGTCCTCACCACAGGAATGGGGTGCCTCTGTGCTCTGGGACTTCGGCAATAAAGAAAAGTCCTTTGTCTGATCGCCTTGCCTTTGCCCTAAGTAGTATAAACAACACTATTATTTTTATTGCCCAAGAGTTTTATAGCAGCGGTCTCAATCTTGCTTTTCTTGTTCTTAGGCTGACGAATGAAGAGTTAAGAACAATCAATTCATCAATACAAGGCCCACACTTCCATTTGTGGATGGCTTAGTGGAGAAGGAATAGCATAGAGAGGGGAATAGGGGAAAGTTGGAAGGGAAGGACATTTATGCCAAATTTGGAGAATAAGCTTCAAAGCTTAGATTTCTATTTAAACGTTTTGTTTGGGGGCACCTGGGTGGCTCAGTCGGTTAAGTGGTTGACGTCAGCTTGGTCAGACTTCATCTCAGGTCATGATCTCCAGGTCAGTGAGTTCAAGCCCCCAGTGGGACTTTGTGCTGCCAGCTCAGAGCCTGGAGCCTGCTTGGGATTCTGTGTGTGTGTCTCTCTCTGCCCCTCCCCCACTCACACTCTGTCTCTCAAAAATGAATAAATGTTAAAAATTTTTTTTCAAAATTTAAGCATTTTGTTTGAACTTGAAACATTTTGGACTTGAAAATTTTGCCTTTATTAAAGATTGATGATAGTAAATGTGATCTAGAGTATTACTTATTTATTATTTATTTAACTAGTACCAAGAAAGAATTTAGGTGAACAAACCCTATTCTAAGCATTTATAAATATTTGCTTTTTAAATAATCATAATGGATAGGTACTCTTAGGAATCCCTACATTATGGATGAGGAAAGGGAGGCACATAGAAATTAAGTAACTTGCTCATGGACATTAACTGGTAAATGGTGGAGCTGAGATGCTAACTAATGACATCTGGCTTCAGAATCTATGCTCTTAACCCATTTGCTAATTGGTTAGTGTAAAAAAATGCTTAAAAATGTACCATTGAGATTTCTTTTTTCTTTGAGAGAGAGAGAGAGAAAGAGAGAGAGAGAGAATCCTAAGGAGGCTCCATGCTCAGCATGAAGCCAGATATGGGTATCATGACCAGAGCTGAAATCAAGAGTCTGTTGCTCAACTGACTGAGCCACCCATGTGCACCCAAGATGGTTTCTCATAAAAATTGAATCCAGTTTGTTATTTTTTAAAAATGTTTATTCATTTATTTTGAGAGACAGCATGAGCAGGGGAGGGGCAGAGAGAGAGGGAAAAAGAGAATCCCAAGCAGGGTCTGTGCTGTCAGCCTACTGGGGCTCAATCTCACGAACTGTGAGATCATGACCTGAGCCAAAATCAAGAGTTGGACGCTTAACCGACTGAACTACTCAGGGGCCCCTCCAGTTTCTTATTCAGTTCTATTTTAGGTAGGATGCACTATACTGTAATTTTTCCTTTTCAGTTCTGAAAATAAGAAGAAAAACACTCAAAAAAATATTTAAGCTTATTTAAGGTCCCTGTTTTCTCAGCTTCCTTGTTGCTAGGAGAACTTTATATTTTCTTTCACTGCCTATTTCCAGATGATTTTAGATTTATGCAGTTACAACACCATAGACTCTCCTGAGTGACATTAACTTTGAGGGTTTTTATTCTCAACAAAAAACGCTGTGTTTATATAACCAAAAGAAGAGCATCAAAAAAATCTCCAGTTGGCCCACTGTAGGACTCTGGGAAAATTCCTTTTCTTACTCATAACTCAAGATACGATAATGAGATCCTCTACAATGTCAGCTCCTGGTCTTTGTTTTAAATTGAAAAAAAAAAAACCCACTATTTTTAAATGTTTATTTATTTTTGAGATAGAGAGAGAGACAGTGCGAGCAGGGGAGGGGCAGACAGGGAGACACAGAATCTGAAGCAGGCTCCAGGTCCCCAGCTGTCAGCACGCAGCCCGACGCAGGGCTGGAACCCACAAACCACAAGATCATGACTTGAGTAGAAGTTGGAAGCTCAACTGACTGAGCCACCCAAGTGTCCCTGTGTTATTGTTCTTTGTGCTAGGTTGCTTAGACTCAGTAGTGATAGTCAAAATAACAGTAACCAGTAGAGCCTTAAGGCTTCGAGGGACAAGGCCCCAGGTTCTGTGAGCAGCAGGGGTCTGAGAGGTACGTATTGTGTGCTTCAACCTCTCATCTCAGCTGCTAGAGATCTGAGGTTCTATAGCAGGGGATGGGGTGACTAGCCCAGAAGAATTGTATCCTGGGAGGGGACTTGTAACTACCTGCAGGAATGTTTCATCTTGCCTAGCACTGTGCCAAGTCTACAGTTGAGAATTCATGGTCCCTTATCTTTTTCTCAATTAGTCTATCTAGGAGGTTTTCAAGTTTATTCATCATTCTAAGAACCAACTTCTCCCTTTATTGATTTTCTTTACTGATTTTAAAAATGTCATTGGCTTCTGCTTTCATTACTATTAATTATGTATTCATGTTGTATTTATTATTTTTACTTCTTTCCTTCGACACTGAGTTCAATCTGGTGTTCTTCTAGTTTCTAAGGTGGAGACATGGATTGTTGATTTTAAACCTTTATTCCTTCTATTTTAAGCATTAAAAACTAGTTTGCCTCCAAATACTGTTTTAGCTGCATGCAACAAATTTTGGTATGTTGTGTTTTTATCATTTAGTTCAAAGTATTATTTATTTATTTAATGTTTATTTTATTTTTGGGGGGGAGGGGCAGAGAGAGAGAGGGAGACAGAATCCTAAGCAGGCTCTGAGCAGTCAACTGAAAGCCCGAAGTATGGCCCAAACCAACAAACCACAAGATCCTGACCTAAGCCATAATCAAGAGTCAGATGCTCAACCAACTGCCCCAAGAAATACTTTCAATACAAAGATAAGTTAGAGGGCAGGTGGCTGAGTTGGTTAAGTGCTGAAGTATTGATTTCAGCTGAGGTCATGACACCGGGGTCATGAGATTGAGCCTTGCAAGGGGCTCTGTGCTGACAGCATAGAGCCTGCTTGAGATTGTCTCTCTCCCTTTGCCCATTCACCGCTTGCATGCTCTCTCTCTTTCTCAAAATAAATAAATAAACTTAAAAAACAACAATTCCTATAAATGGCAGAAAGATGTACTTTATTTTATTCTGCCAAAGACTTGAGAAGACCCCTGTGCAGATTTCTGGAGCTCTTTCTCTGCACAACTTCCTTCTCACTGGTACTGTGTTCTGCATATGCTAGCTACTTTGGTCTCCAAGATCATAATTCAGACTCCTCAACTAGACAAGACCTCTGGGCTCTGCCTGATTTCCTTTTTCTCATGTCACAGTTCAGAAATTGCTTCTGGGCAGGGTTCAACTCATTTCCCCCCCTTCTCTCAAGTATCACACTCTTTTACTGCCTGTTGTCCAGTATTTTGAAGACAGTTTTTATATCTTTTCTCCATTTTGGGGTCAAGCTACTTTCTCATGAGCAAAAGCTAAGATCTATAGTATAGGTGATTTGTAGGAGCCAAATGCAATGTTTGGACATGATATTTAAGTTTATGGTTTCTTTCTGTATCTAAGTATCATATTATGAGTTGGGTTGACAAATCATGCGAAGAATGCCCACATAGAAATTAACAAAATGATCTAGACTCTACCATGACTTAAGAAGTATTACCTAACTTGAGTGCATCACTTACCTCGACTCTTAGCTTGCTGGAGATGGTAACTGGGACCTTGTATCTACTCTTGCTGCCTGCACCTGCTAACCCGTAACCACTATGCATGAGTGTATTTCCAGCCACATTGGCCAGGCTGGTGTCCAGGTCACTGATGCCTGCTGGGAACCCTATTGCCTGGAACACGGCATCCAACTCAATGGCCAGATGCTAGGTGACAAGACCATTGTAGAGAGGAGGAGATGACTCCTTCAACACCTTCTTCAGTGAGACAGGTGTTGGAAAGCACGTGCCCAGGGCAGTGTTTATAGGCCTGGAGCCCACAGTCATTGATGAAGTTTGCATTAACACCTCCCACCAGCTTTTCCACCCAGAGTAGTTTATCACAGGGAAGGATGATGCTGCCAATAACTATGGCGAAGGACACTACACCACTGACAAGGAGAACATTGGCCTTGTCTTGGACCAAACTGGGAAACTGGCTGACCAGTACACAGATCTTCAAGCCATCTTGGTTTTCCACAGCTCAAGGCGGGGGAAACTGGCTCTGGGTT